AGCCACTGTTTATGTTCTAATTAATGGGAGCCCATCAAAGCAATTCAACATTACTAAGGGCATTAGACTGAGGGATCCCCTTTTCCCATTCCTATTTTTAATCATTGCAGAAGGCTTAAATGGGGTGATTAAATCAGCAGTAACAAAAGGCATGTATTAAAGGGGTGGAAGTTAGAAGAGCGAAGTACATATATCCCATCTACAATTTGTAGATGACACTTTTGTGTTTGGGAGAGCTACTAAGGAGAATGTGTGGGCTACAAAGTGCATCATAAGGAGGTTTGAGTTGATTGTGAGACTCAAAATTAATTTTTTTGAAAAGCCACATCATGGAAGTGAATGTGGAGAAGGAGAGGCTAACTAAGATAGCTTGTATTTTGAATTGTAATAAGGGTGAAATTCCATTCCACTACTTGGGGATGCAAGTTGATAGGAATCCAAGAAGCATTTCTACATGGAAAGGCTTAATCAACTATTTAAAAAAAAAGCTAGCAAGGTGGAAAAGCAAGTCCTTATCCATGGGAGGCTAAATTACGCTCTTGAACTCTGTCTTGTCCTCGCTGCCCATTTTCATGATGTCTGTCTACCATCTCTCAAAAGGTATTATTTTTATCATCAATAAAATTAGAATAGATTTCTTATAGGGAGGGAATGAGGATAAAATGAAAATTAGTTGGGTTAAATAGGAGGCAATTTGTGAAGTAAAGTGGAGGGTGGGCTAGGTGTAAAGGATTTACGTTTATTTAACATTGCAATGCTAGGTAAATGGTGGTATAGGGTGGCAAGTGGGGAATGTAATCTTTGGAGGAGGGTGATTAAGTCTAGATATGGCACTTTAGGTAAGAATTGGACTCATTGGGTGAGAGAGGGTAAAAGGTTAGGCTCTTTATGGTGGCGTGATATATATAATCTAAATGAGGTGGTGGGAAATAAGAAGGGTTGGCTAAAAGATAATTTTAAAATAGTGATAAGAGATGAATGAATGGTAGAATTATGGACAGACAAGTGGTTAGGGGATAGGACCTTAGCTGACACATATCTGAGACTATTTTTATTATCTACTAGTAAAGAGAATCTAGTACAAGAAATGGGATGCTGGGAAGACGGAAGATGGCATTGGGAGAACAAATGGAGACATGACCTAAGGCCATGGGAAGAAGAAATGGCAATGAAGGTTGCACAAAAATTAGAGGCAGCACTTCTCAATGAGGGCCAACAGGAGAAGTAGGAATGGAAGCTTTCAATAGAAGGGAGATATTCAATAAAATTGTCTTATAGGCTTTTATCAGCATAGTTGTCACGCCCCAGAACCCAAATCCGGGGACGTGGCAGACGCCGTACACTCGTGAGACGGGTCCCACAAGTGCACAAGGCTCGAAACTTATTCAAATCACAATCTGATACCACAAAATCTCAAGATAAAATCTTTACAATCTGCTCTGATATCAAAAATCTCCACATACACCCTAACTCTTAAGATCACAATCTACATCTCAAATCTATATTCACTTTACAAGATGGCTAGCCTTCTAACTCGTCACTCTCCTTGGTTTTCCCCGTCCTCGGTTTCGCTTCCTGAAATGGTGAACAAGGAAAACTATGAGATAACTCAGTAAGTAAATATGGATAGCCCTTTGGTAAAACTTTTAAGCATGCCAGATAAACCATGTAAGCATAGCAGAACTTTCACTGATAAACCGTTAATGCGGAAATCAAATTCGATTCAATAGCAAAATGTTCAATGACAAAACCGTCAATGCAAAATCAAATTCATTTCAATAACAAAACGTTTCCTGACAAACCGTTAATGGAGAAGAAAACTCAGTTCAGTAGTCTCATCTATAAGTCATGGCCAGTGTTATAACAACCCACTGGCAGGCAACAGAAATTTACTAGTGTTTAACCCCCACTAGTAGGGTTACAGAAACGAACCGGTTCTATCAATAACATATGACATAAGCCGACATGTGCTAGCGTTTAACCCCCACTAGCAGGATCATCAATAACATATCGACATGCGCCGACATGTGCTAGCGTTTAACCCCCACTAGCAGGATCATCAATAACATATCGACGTGCGCCGACATGTGCTAGCGTTTAACCCCCACTAGCAGGATCATCAATAATCATAACTATATCCGAGACAAAACCATGCAGGATTTACAAAAAAACCTGAATTTCATAATCAATCCCGAATTTCAGAACAAACCAGAAAAGTTCCATGCAGGCATGGATTTAACAGAAAACTCAACATTTACAAAATTCTCAGTTCATCAAAGCAGTTTAGTCAATTCCCAAATAAGCATGCTTTATTCCAGAAAAACAATGAAATTGTCATTTTCATTTCTCAATCATGCTCATTTCCAGAAAATCAATAAAATCCTCATTTTCATTTCAATCATGCTCAATTTCAGAAAAACAAGGAAACTCTCATGAAAATCATCCAACTTTTCATTTCAATTTAATCACACTCAGATGCTGATAAAATCAATTTAAAATCAATTTAAACATTGCCACCATCTCAAAAATAATTTAAAACGTTCTTTAAAATCGAAGGCTTTACCATAATTTACTTACCTCACTCGCATAAAACCGAGCACTCAATCTCAGTACAGTGCTAACTGACAGAACAATCGGGAACCTAATCAAAACACCTCAGAATTAATACTGGACTATCACAAATTTAAACTGAAATGATCATTAGCACTACCCCTAATCATAGTGCTATTTCTATCAATCTCCACATAACCGGACATCTCCAAATTTATTCTTATATCACAAACTAATCATTTAAATCCCTGTTAATTATTGACCCTCGGTGTGTGAACAGTGCCCGTGAACAGTACCAGTAAACAGTACCCGTGAACAGTAACTTCACTTCGAAAATTGGCCAAAACACTAGCTAATTCATGGGATTTTTCTCCAAAATCACAACAACCCAATTAACAAAATTCCTACATAAACCAAGCACAAAACACATTTAAATGCTACCGGAATTCCTCCCCCATTTTAGCAAAATTCGGCAAGCACAGAGCAGCACTTAATGGACAAAACCCAGCAATTAAATGGGTAATTTTAGGCTTAGAGGAGCTGTCCATACCAGAATTTAGCAGCCAAAAACCGAGCCTAGCAGGGGGGAAGAAGCCGGCGGCAGAGAAGAAGAAATTCTGCAGGGGAACTCGCGGCTACCCAATCCAAAAACCAAAACACAATTCAAGGTAAGCCCAAGTCAAATTCAAAGCTAAAGAGATGAACTCTTGGCTGAATCTTACCAGAAAAACCGAAGGATTCAAACCCAGCAGAACCCGACGGTCAAGGGAGAAGAACAGAGCAGATCCGGGATTTCTGGGTAGAGAGAGAGAATTCTAAGCCCCAAATCTTGTGATTAAGCAAGAAAGAAGGAGAAATTTCATCAAGATCTCACCAGGTTTTCAAGGAGGAAGAGAGTCGGTGGCTTGGGGGGCTGGTCGGGGAGGCAAAGCATCGGGGAGAAGAAAAATGAAGATGAAGAAAAGCAAAACACGTGGCTGAGGACAAAAATATCAGCCTTGATCCTTATCCAAATTTCTTTTCTTTTTAGTCCCTCAACTTTTTAAAATTTTATGATTAACCCCTAAAACAATATTTTTTCTCAAATAAGTCCCTTATTTAATGCTAAAATATCACCAATTTTTGGGGTATTACAATAGTAGCAGGAAGAAGATAAAAATGACTTTCAAAAAATTGTGGAATGCCTTAGTCCTTAATAAGATGTGCACTTTTGCATGGTAATTAGTGCAGGGCAAGATCCCAACAAGGTTTAATTTATTCAAAAGAGGGGTGATAGCTGATTACAATATGACAAAGTGTGGTCTATGTTCATCTGAGATTGAAACTACGCATGATCTATCATTGCATTGCAAAATAGCACTTGATGTTTTGACAAGGTGTTTGAGATTATGGAGTTTGGTTTCTGTAGGCACAGGCAATTACTGGAAATCTTTCCAACAACATAGTGGCTTACTCCTTGACAAAGATATAAGAGAGGGGTGGTAAGTTATCTGGTTTGCTACTGTATGGTCAATATGGTTAGCTAGAAACAAGGTTGTGTTCCAAGATAATCTATGCAATGTTGCAGAAATATTTGAAAATATACGGCTCAGATCCTTTGAATGGTTAAGTGCAAATAGGGAGGGGTGACGCGTGAGCCTCACATATTGGTTACTGGAGCCAAAGGAGTGAATGAAACGAAGGGGAAAACCTAATGCAATGTAGGAGAAATATCATTGTTGGTAAAACTTCAATACATTAGGGGTGCAAAATATGTCAAAAATGAGATTATTATAGACCTAGTGGGTGGAGAGTTGAACATGTAATAGGCAAGGGTTCAAGCACCCCTTGTACTCCCAATAATAAAATACATTCATTTTTGTTGTTCAAAAAAAAAAAAGCCAATTCTTATATCGTATATATATAGTTACGTCTTTAAGTTTATTTATTTTTAATTTTATACAAGAAAATAATAATTTTTTAATAAGTATATTATGTAGGGTGTTAAATTGAAATGTGTACCAATTAGTGTTATTGACATTATTCTTTTCGTACCAAATTATCAATTATTATAAGTAATTCATACTTAACTTTAAATAATAATTGCCAATGACCTAAATAGTTCAGTGGTTGTCTTTTTCTGTTGGAAGTAAGAAATCATGAGTTCGAGTCGCCTGACATGCGGGTGGGGTGAGATAAAGAATGAAAAATTGTTGTCTCCTATTGTGCAACCAAGATCAAAAAACGAAAAAACTTTAAATAATACTTTAGTCTAACATATATATGATAATTAAAAATATTTTTTGTTAAATAAAACTTTTAGAAAAGAATTACTTATTAAAACAAAAGGATTTAATTATCATTTGTATACTATATAAAAAAGTACTTAATCTTCCTTCCGCATAAATTAATTATAGTAACAAATAATTTTAAATAGGAGTAATTTTGATTGTACGAGGAAAAGAGTATTATTGCTCCTAATCTGTTCCATGTAATAGGACACAAGATACTGCAAATTAATGTAATATAAGAAAGGAAAAATATTGCTTTATTAATTTTTTTTTATCAATGTTAGTTGGGGAGATGGTAAAAATATAATTTTTGAGAGGCTCAATTATATTAATTGGTAAAAATGTGCTTTACATATTCATGAGTTGACGGAAGCTTCAAGAATATGTAGAATAGTATAGTCGTTAGATTCAAAGCTGAAATCCCATATTAAAGTTTGTAGTTAATTCACATGAACATATCTATAAGTTGATACATAATAAAACATTAATTAAACAATATTATTAATCATAGAACTTTCTTCAATTGACATATTATATGCGTTTTTTAATTTTATATTACATAATGAAAAGTAACTATCTCTCATCTTTTTAAACTACCTTCGCATACATATCAATTTTCTCTTAAGCTTTGAGAGGATACACGCAAAAGCAGGAAGATATGTATGTCTTATTTCAACTATGTCATGCATTCCTATTATAATAATTATTGATATTAATCCATGCTTCAATTTGTTCTCAAGCTTTGTGAGGGTAGAGGCGAACAGGAAGACCCTTGGCTGGGATGGGCATTGGATCCACCACAATCTTCTCGTCCGGAAGTTTTTTCTCCAATTTGAACCTCTTCACCAAATTGTGCATGAAAACCAGGATTTCCAGACGGGCATACTCCTTGCCTGGGCACATCCTGGGGCCACCTCCAAATGGAACGAATGTGTAAGGAGCAGGTCCATTTCCTTCAAATCTAGCCGGGTCGAATTTTTCCGGTTCTGGAAAGTATTCTGGGTTCTTGTGGGTTGAGTTTGCACTCCAATACAACTTCATGCACGAGAAAAACAAAAGCAATTAAAAAAAAAAAATCCATGTCCTCCTTTATATGATTTCAGTGAGAATGCGCCGAACTGCCAAAGAAAAGGGTATTCAAGGGGCATGTTCATATTTAAAAATTAGTTCTATACAATTTATCACAATTAGATGCACTGCACAAAACGTTCATGTTTGATTAAAATTATATATTTAGATCATAAATGTACCCAATCCTTGATGATAATGAGCGAACAAAATTCATAAATTTTACTTGAGTTGAATTTGAATTTGTGACGATCGATAAAATCTGGACTCGACTCCTGTTTTACAGCAATTAATTAATTAACATAAGAGACTGACCTTCCAGCCCTTTGGAATGGAGAAACCATTGAAAATGAAGTCAGTGATGGCTTCTCTAAAGGCCCCTTGAAGTGGTGGGGCAAGTCTCAGAGCTTCACAAGCAACGTTCCAAGAGTATCTCATCTTCTGAATATCATCCCAATTCAACAGCTCCCCTGGGGCCTTTGATTTTGCAATTTCAACTTGTTCTGCATTACATAACTATTATTTAAAAAGTTCCTATGAAAAAAGTATTATTTAAAAAACCGATAAGGCAAGGACGCTTCCACAACAATTAATTACATACATATAATTTTGGGGCCTTGATGGCTCTGCTGTGGTTACTGTTAAACAAAATTTTCGTTGAGACCACACAAATTCATTATAGTGCCGGTACTTGGTTTAATTGATATATATATATATATACTGTTAAATAGTTAATTATAATTCTTAAAATATTAATTTATAAATTAATTTTAATTTATTAAGTAATAAATATTAATTTTTTTAACAATTAAATTAAATTAAATTAATATTTTTAAATATAATATCTACCCATTTGGGTGACCTTAACAAAATTTTGTGTACCTAGAACCACACCTTCACTTGATTTGTACTCTCTCTTAAAATCTGTTTTATTTTAAAAAGTTCTTTCTTCAAATTAAAGATTCAAGAAAAAATGGATATATTTACTTATAATATTATTAAAAATATAAAAATAAAGAGACACTTTGTGATAAGATGAATAATTAAATAAATAAATAACTGTAAGATTAAAATTTAAAAAAATTATCTTTCTTAAAACATTAGTAAAAAATAACAATTATAATTTGGATCAAATTTTAAAATTATAAACAAGACAGTTATTTAAGGAAAACAAGAATAAATTGTAGGGTGACAAACCCCAAATTGTAAAACAAAACAAAAGGGACAACGTTAATTATTTAAAAGATTTTTAAATTTAAGAACACAATTTATAGGGTACCTTTTTTAAGTATATTTTATATTCTTTAAAGGAAAATGATTTTATATATTAAAAATAAAAATGAAAACATAATTAGCATGGTAAATGATTCAATCACATATATAGAGTGTTAATTATATAAAGTAACCTCAGGAACATGATATATATATATATAATTTTAATTTAAATACGTAAATATTAGTAGTAAGTAGTGTGATTTTTCGTGTGGAGAAAGAAAAACTCATTGTATTGGATCACGAAAGGTGTGTTTAGGAGATCATGTTGCGCAAGTACTGCGCTACCAATCATTTACAATTGGCTAGAGAAAAAAAAAATTCCTTTAAGAGGGGTAATTGGAATGGTTTGCCATAAAATTAGGGTTAATGCATTTGTAAAGATATATTAAAAGAAGAGAAGTGCTATGTCTGCTTAGGGTAGAGACAAGTACATAAACACTCATCTCTTCATTGGTTTTCTTCTTTTAAAACAAAAAATGAAATGAAAATATCTCGCTAACTGCCTATGTGCTAGCTGCAATTAACGGTTAAATTCAATAAATAATCTATTAATTATGTGATTTATTTTAGTTTATTTTAGAAATAATTTTTTTCTTTTTAAAATCATTTATAAACTATCAATTTTATTTTAAAATGGTTTACTTGACAAACATGTCATTAACTAAACTAACGGAATTCTCCTAAACTTTTCAAAAATGTTAAATATAATACATATATTTTTATTTTTTACAACATTTTGTTTTTGAAATTCAAATTTTTTGTCAAATATAATAATTAATTAAGATGAAATTTCAATTTAAATTAATTAATATTCTAATTTTAATTTATAATAATCAATATTATAATTTAAATTTTATTATTTCTAAAAAATTTAATTTATTATTAAATATTAATATTTTTAATAAATAAGCCCTTCCAAAATTTAATTTAATTACATGAGCATCCGCACATAATTAAATTACTTGAAAAAATAAAAATTCATTTCAATTTTATAAATCCCCAAATTAAAATCATGTATGTATTATTAGTATTAAAAACAAAAATAAAATTTTTTATTTTTCTATACAAATTAGTGAAAAAAATGTAATTTAATAATGATATTAAGTTTTTAAAAAATAATAAAATTTAAATTATAATATTGATTATTGTGAATTAAAATTAGAATCTTGATCAATGTAAATTAAAATTATTATCTTAATTAATTATTACATTTAACATAGAATTTAAATTTAAAAAACAAAATGTTGCAAAAAACAAAAATATATGTACTATATTTAATATTTTTCAAAAGTTTAAGAGACAATTTGTTTATACCAACTTGTCTAGACCAATATTTTGTTAGTTTTGTTAACGAAATATTTGTCAAGTTGACCATTTTAAAACAAAATTGATAATTTATAGATGATTTTAAAAGAAAAAATTATTTATAAACTAAATTAAAATAAATCATATAGTTAATAAACTATTTATTGCATTTAACCGCAACCAACTAGCACAGCTAGCATTTCTCCAAGAAAAACAAATCATCAATTACATAATATAATCATGGTTTAGATTTTTCAAATAAATTAATAATTTTTATAATCTATATCTTGTATTTAATTTAGAGTCATATTATGGAAATAAATTTTTTTATAATATTTTTATATAATTTTTACATGTTATTAAATAAATAGATATATTTAATATTATAAGTTTTAAATAAATAAAAAATTAATTATTTAAATAACACATAAAATTATATTTAAAATATTATAAAAATATTATCTCTAAATTTTTTTAATTTATATAAAAAATTACAAAAAAATATTTTCAATATTAATATCACATAAAATATTTTAATTGTATAATTAATTAAAATTAAATTCAACTTTGTTTTTTCTTACGTTAGAAAATTCCCAAATAAATTATTAGCCTACCGGCGGATTTCCATCAAAAATTCCTTACGCAAGATTTTTCCTTTTTGCCCAAGAAAATTTCCTTAAAACACACAGGAAAATTTTTAATTCAGACATGCTAGTAGTAAATATCAAATTCTACTAGTAGAATATATACCTCTGTAAACTCCTTCATAGATGTGAGGAAGCTCCGCCAGACTCTTGACGATGAAAGTACAGGCGGCACTGGCGGTGTCGTGTCCGGCGATCAACAAACCCAGAATCTTATCGGCGATATCCAACTCAGTCATGAACTGTCCGTTCTCGTCGCTGGTTAACAGCATGTGGGACAGTATATCATGAGTCGGCAACGCCTTACCCTCCGCGAGGTCAACCTTCCTCTGCTTGATGATCTTGAGTAGTTCCTTTCGGATGAAACTCGATGCCTTTATGGCTTTGTTGAATGGGGTTCCGGGCAAGTCAACGGGAAGGGAGAGGAGGCCGGAGGCCAGAAGGTTGAAAGGGGCGGCGAACTGGGCGACGTGGTCGGGATCTTCAACACTGATGAAAATACGGGAGGCGATCCAGAAAGTGTAACGTTTTGCCAAAGGGTAGACGACGACCTCGTCTTTGTTTTCCCAGTCGGAAGCAAAGTGTCGTTGAGCGGTGGTATCCATGATTCCAATGTAACTCTGCAGGGCCTCGAGTTTCAAGAACTGAGGGAGGAGTTTTCTCATCTTTTTAGATTCGTGTTGTGAGGATGTCAGGACAGAGGTTGGGAATACTTTGTTTACGGAATCCGGCCACCACGAAGTGACGAGTTTGTTTTCATTGGAAAACAAGAACTTGTTTCCTGCGGGTCCGCAGAAGACTGCAAATGGTCTACCAAGGATGTGTGTCTTAAAGATATTAGAGGAGTAACGGAGCATTCGGTCAAAAATGAATTTCTCGGGGTGACCTTTCCATCCAGGGGAGAGGAGCTGGAAGGTCTCGCCAACGATGGGGAGGCCGGCCCTCCCCGGAGGTAGGTTAGGGTTGGTGTATTTGGACCAATGATTGTAAAAGAGGATAAAAAGAGAGAGGGTTACGAAGGAGACGAAGAGGAGGAGAAGAGTAAGGTAGAAATGCTCCATATTGCCCTGAGGTTGGGTGGTGTGCAAATAAGGTCGAGGCTATGGGATTTTATAGCTAAAAAGAATGCCAAGTAGAGCTTTAGCATGGGGAACTGGCGGTATCAAAAAGTCAAATAAGAGCAGCTAATTTGCTGGACTATACAGTGTAAATTGTTAGACATAGGCATATAATGTTTTAATATATATATAGCATATGATTTGTAATTAATTAATTTTTGTTTACCTTATACGTTTTTGTTTAAGGAAAAATAAAAATGATGTACGCGTAGTGGTTGGCTGTGTCGCTGTGTCTTAATAAATTTTATATCTCTAAATAAAAAATTTATTTATTTTTATGTATTTTTACAACATAATATCATAATTATTAAAAAAAAAACAAAAATAGTCTTAATATTATTAAAATTTTATATTATTTATTATTAGAGTTAAAATTCATATTAAACAAATTGTTATTTATTTTTAGTTTTGATTTTCAGTTATTGTAAAATTTATGAAAATCAAAACTAAAAATTAAAAACTACAACTATATTCAATGGAAACTAAATTTATTTTTTAAATTGCTATAAACTAACTAGGTATTGGGTAAAATTTTTCATTTAATGACTTGGAATTAACAAATAGCAATTAGAGACCAAACTGCTAGTGAATTAAAAAAACTATCTTAAACAATTTTTTTGTGCCATACTACTAACAAAGTAGAATTTTTTTAATTTTATTGAAAAAGTTATCCATTTTAATTATTCAATTTTTTGCTTGTTTCAAATTACTAATTATTTAGTTGGTTTCAATTTTTTTCTCTTTAATAATATTAAGTGATTATTATTATTTTTACTTTAATTTATCATCAAAAAATTTTATATTAACTTAATAAAAAAATTTCTAGTTAAATAAAATAATTAAAATTTTAATTTGTCTTTATTTAAAAATAATATAATTTTTTCTCATTAAAAATAAAAA